TGTCCCCCCAGCTCATCTTTCTGCTGACCTTCAGTGGCAACTCCCAGGCAGGTGTCTCCAAGGATCACTTGGTGCATGTTGTGCATCCCCCTCAATGGTCAGGAACTTACCACTCTTACATTCTGTTCATCAGAGCCAGCCACCATGGTCACTCCAGGTCCCACATGCCAGCTGATTCTGGCAAATCCTGACACAGGGCAAACGAAGCTTCAAGTGTGCATATACTACTCACTTGCATGAACAAGTTTTTGATCATTGTTCCAACGGAAGCACTCTGGCCTTTTCAGTGCCATTTGTTGTACACAGTCTATGTCAGTCCCATGTTTCTTGGAGGGTTAGGGAGGAGCCACGAAGATAATTCAAGACATGGTCCCTGCTCTCAAGTTATAGCCCAGTAGAAACCACCAATACATAAATACCTAAATTGCAGTAGGTGCCACAAGAAAGGTATGAATAAAGATCTAAGGAAAGACACATGCAGAAGGAATTAATTCTTATTCACATGCAGAAGCGATTCTTAAGTCCTAGAGAGCAAAAGAGATACGATGTTTAAGTGGGGTTTTACAGGATATGCAGGAGTTTGCAAAGTAGACAGGGAATGGCAACACAACCCAAGGCACGGGAAGACTATGAAGTGTGCAAGTAAGTGCACAGCCAATATCCCACATGTCAAGGCAGAACAGACAGGGCTAGTTATGAAAGGCCGTGATGGCAACGAGGACTGTGGAGGTTCCTATAGGTAATCGGGGTCCTCTAGAAGAGCATGTCGCCAGGTCAGATTTGTGTGTGCAACATAATTCCAGGGGAACTGTGGAGGCCTTTATGGATTTAGTAGACTTTACTAGCAATTGGGTAACCTGGGGAGGAATTGTATTATATACTGCACACTCCATTTTCATATTGATTGCTTTGTCTTTCTCCCTCTTCTATCTGGCCTCTTTAGCCCTGGAAAGTTCCAAATTCTTTTTTTTTTTTAAACTGAGATGTAGCTGGGTAACATTATATTAGTTTCATGTGTACAAACAATGATTCACTTTCTGTAGATACTCCAAAATGATCACCACATTCTAGTTACCATCCATTACCACACAGGCACAAATTTTTTTTTCTTGTGATGAGTACTTTTTGATCTATTCTCTTAGCAACTTCCAAATACACAATACTACAGTATTAACTAGTCACCATACTGTACATTACACCCAATGATAACATCTTACGACTAGAAGTTTATACCTTTTGACCTCCCTTTACCCATTTCACCCATCCCCAATCCCCAACCCCCACCTCTGGCCAATCTGTTCTCTGTATGAGCCTGGTGGTTTTTGCTGTTGCTGTTGTTTTAAGATTCCACATATAAGTGAGCTCACATGGTATTTGTCCTTCTCAGTTGGACTTATTTCACTTAACGTAATGCCCTCAAGGTCCATCCATGTCACAAATGGCAAGATTTCATAGTTTTTTATACCTGAATAATACTCCATTGTATATACACACCACATTTGTCTTATCCCTTCTTCATCCAATGATTGAGACTTAGGTTGTTTCCACGTCTTGGCTATTGTAAATCATGCTGCAATGAACATGGAGGTGCAGATAGCGTTTCAAGTTAGTTTTTTCATTTCTTTTTCAGATAAATACCCAAATGTGGAATTGCTAGATCATATGGTAGTTTCATTTTTAATTTTTTGAGGAACCTCTTCACTGTTCTCCATAGTGGTTGCACCAATCTACGTTTCCACCAGCAATCCACGAGGGTTCCTTTTTCTCCACCTCCTCGCCAACATGTTATCTCATCTTTTTGATAATAGCCATTCTAACTGGTGTAAGGTGATACTTCATTGTGGTTTTGATTTGCATGTCTCTGCTAAGCATCTTTTCATGTGCCTGTTGACCATGTCTATGTCTTCTTTAGAAAAATATCTGTTCAGATTCTCTGCCCATGTTTCAATTACATTGTATTGCTTTGTTACTATTGAGATGTATGAGTTCTTTACATATTTTGGATATTAACCCATGATAAGATAAATGATTTTGCAAGAACTTTCTCCCCTTCAGTAGCTTGTCTTTCCATTTTGTTGGAAAGTTCCAACTTCTTAACCCTTTATTATGCAGAGTGGCTTCTCTACTTCTCAAAAGTCTTGGCCTCAGCCAACACTCAAGCCCAGGGGGGCTCACTTCCATGCTAAATAATTATCAAAACATTTTTCTAAATAAAGGCAGTTATTTTGTTAAGAGAAATTCTGGTACCAGCTGGTCAAGGTAATATAAATGTCTTTACCTCAACACATGCATCTACAACATCAACAATATTCTACATACCCTACATGTCATCTAATTATCTGTGAAACATAATTATGCTTGAGAAACACAGGCAGTATTCCCAAATTTATTCCAGCATTTCCACATCCGAGGTAAAATAACTGCAGGACACTGTGTTAAACTTGTTTTAAAAAAGGTTTATTTGTTACAAAATGTTAAATACTAAAACTAAAAACATATAAATTCAGGTCAGGCTATATTAAAATACACACATACCCTTCTTAGTAAAATTATTAAAGATTGAATTAAACAGATGCTTTAAATAAAATAAAGTACTCTCGAGGAAATTTTTTTCTAATTATGTCAGTGTAGTGTAGTTTTTAAAATTGCAGTTGAAAAGTTTAGCTGTCTTGGAAGTTCAATTTATCCAACTGTTCAGTTTTCTGCCACTGCCCAATGTGAAGCTGCCATGCCGGCTGGACAGGGTGAATTTCAGTTATGTTACTGAAACTTCTATTTTATAAGCCTACTCTCTTATAATAGGAACAAAGAGCGGTGAGAAGTATACAAAGGGTTATATAAGGTGAAAACCTGGCCCAGAAAGAAAAGGCCTTAGTTCTATCACACAGTATCTTCTCTAATTAAAATGATTGGTAAATATATTGAAGCAGAGATGAACTCAAAGCATACATTCATCCAGAAATAATCTTTCAATTAAAAAAAAACTCAAAAAGAGCACTCATTTCTCTAAGATAGTTTATAAGTATTTTTTAAATTTCTTGTTATTTTAAATTGAGTTAATTCAAAGGTACTGAAGAGTCTAGGTTTAAAAACTAATTTGATTACTGTTCTGACTAGGTCTGAAGAGCCACAACATCTGTGTGCTTGAGTTACTCACACAGGTGGTAAATGACTTTCGTAACAAAATCTACATGCTCAACACCCACAGAGCACCAGCTTCCAAACTCAACTTCCACTCAGGTCAAACAACCTCAAAAGTATCTATGGTCTATGTAAATGTGAAATAGTATTTTCAAGAAAATATTTTGCTTTAGAACTTAATGTTTTTTTCAATTTCCTAGATCAAAAGTTACTGATTTAGAATTTTAAGTGCTGTAATTCACATAGGGGAAAGACTACCTTAGGAAGAACATAAGGCTATTACTGTGTTTTAAAAGATCTTATATGTGATGAAATTTCTAGAGATCTACTATAGTATTTATTCTTTACAATGCTTATCCTTATCAAATGGGATTTGCCAAGAGTTAACTCAAGTGATTAAAATACAAAAAACATAAAATGCATTCCAGTAATCTTCATCGATATAATCTAATTAAAATCAGGTTTCTTGGAAGATATATATAGGGCATTTTTACTGTTTTACTCTAACAGTGTTTATATACATCCAAGGACTAACCGTATAGTATTATGTCTAATACTGTGGTATAAAACTGTTTAATCAAACCTTTGAATAATTGAAAAAACTTGGTGTCCTTAAAAGTCATTAGAAATTAAAAGAAAAATATATCCCAATACTGAATTATAGATGAAAATGATGTTATCGATAAATAGTAATCTGGTTTTCCATCTCTCGGCTTGTGAGCTTCTAGTTATTTCTGTTGACACGTGATACAAGAGAAACTATAATTCTATGCTAGTACCATTTTCTATGTACTGAGTCTTTAACCTTTCTCTTAACTTACTGGGTTATCTTGAAGGATAAGATTCATGCTACTCTTCATTAAATAACATTATGGTCCTCAGAAAGAATTCAAACAATTCAAGCCGCTGGTCTCCTAAGCTTAGTAAGTACATGAAACAAAAAACTCTTAAGCCACTGATTGCAATTTCTCTAGAAAGCATCTCTTCCTACGAGTATTTTTATAAATGCGTTTTAAATTCACACCAGTCAGTAGCTTTTACCAACATCCCGGTCTTAAAATGAGCAAGAAAGCATTTGTTCAACTGTGACAGAGCCAGGACTGTGAGCGTTTTAAAGCTGAGTAAACCACAAGGCGTTATCTCCCTTGCCCACCAAGGTGGCAGCAGAGCTCCCCCAAACATGCCGTGGTACAGACGTCCCCAAGAATGGGAAACCCCACGTGATCTCTTCCCTCCATGTCAGTGCCTCTTTTTTGCTTTCAGAGAGAATGATGTTTAAGCAAGAAAATACAGTACATATCCTGCTAGGAGACACACATAATTTGGGGGGCCCAGTACAAACTGAAAATGCAGGGCCTTTCTTTAAACATTATTAAGAATTTCAAGATGGCAATAGCAGAGCATCACACCAAGCACGGGGCCCTGTGTGGTGACAACAGGTGCCACGGCTGTGAAGCCAGCCCTGTTTAGGTTTCCTGCCCAATCAGCATCCCACAGAAGAGACAAAGTGGCTCAGTTGGGTTGTCCACATAAAAAACAAAGTTTTTTCACGATGGTTCAAACACTGTCACTGATTTGAAACCAAGCGCCGTTTCACTCTCAAAATCCCATGCAAATTTCTATTCCTAAAATTTCAGATTGATCAGCTTTACCCTAGATTTTTCATTATTGAAATAGTCATACTGGGTCTTTAAAATGCCCTTATTTTAATAGAGCAATTAATCAGACATAATGAAAATTTTTAATTGATACTACATGATTTTTTTTTTAACTTAAACATTACTTAACTGGGAGGCATATTAGTATCACTAAAGCAATAGGGCATCTTAAAGGGGAAAAGAAGCTGTATGACAGCTTTACATACTAGGATGGTGAAGCCTTGGTTTTAGCCTATGGTATATTTTGTTCCCTTTTAAAATCACAATAGTAGTTTTTTTTCAGAGAACTAACAAACACACTAAGCTGTATGGTAGTTTTTTAAACGCCCATATTGGTTTCAGTCACAGAATTTTACTGGAACACAGAGGTATCCCATTCTTCTTCATAATAATAATAAAAAGCGTATGCATATAAAAGCTCTGGGTTACATTACTAAGCAACGACACTTCCGGGAGTGAATATACTTCCTGTATTCCGCAAGCTGCTTCAAGTACATATTCGATGGCCATCTGTGCTTTTCAACAAAACTGCGTTCTTCCACTAAAATTTTTAGAAAAAGAATGTTAATTGCAAATATTTTATTTTGGATCAAGTTTAGGTATTAACTACAGATTTCCTATTTAATAGAGGATATGTGAGTTTGGCTACATATCCCCTACCTTTCTCTTAATGCTTCCACAACTGTTTAACACACTTTTGGGGAAATCAGTCATCAGGATTTAAATTATTATGTGTTTTGCCACAATATACGTCTTGTCCCCTGCTTCATCAAGTACTACGTATATTCTTTTGTTTTTCCGAATAAGACTTGTTTTTCTTGGAGATAACAGACCTGTTTTTCTGCTTAGTTTTCTCCGTAGCTACCTCAGCCTCCCAAACTCTTTAAGGCCCTCTCAAGTCTATTCTCTCAAGTCTCCGCCCAGCCACAGTCACCAGACAAGCTCACCAGTCTGGTGGCAGCTGCTGGCCCCTTCTCCTCACAGCCCTGCACCCTCCTGCTTTCTAGGCCTGCTTCCTGCTTCTGTGTTGGATCCCTCCACTCCTGGACTCCAGGCCCTTCACTCCATTTGTTTTCCATTTTTGGTGAAGCATAAAATTTATTAGCTCTCTGAAAAAGAGGGTACCATCTGAATCATTTTTGAGACCTTGCTTGTGATGAAACATCTTTATCATCTTCACACACAATTGATAATTTGGTTTAGTACAGAATTCTAGGTGGAAAACTTCCCTCAGAATGTTGAAGACAGAATTCCACTGCATTCTAGTTTCCAAGGTTATTAAACACTCCTCTACCGTTCAGATTTATAGCTCTTGGCAAGTAATCTGTGTTCTTTTACAATTTTCATATTTTTCTATTTATAGTCGGTGTTCTTGTCTGTCCCAGGGATGGACTTGGTTCACTCATAATGCCAAGCGCCCAGCAGGTCCTTTCAGTCTTAAGACTCGGGTCCTTCAGGACTAGGATAATTTCTCGTATTACTTCCTTGATAAGTTCCTCTCCACTGTTTTATTCTGTATTAACTTCTTTTACTCAGATACTTCATCTCCTGGATTGAGCCCCAAACTTTTTTAAAAAACTTTCTCTCCTCTTTAGCTTTTTGTCTTACTTTTTAGAAGATGTCCTCATCTTTATCTCTCAACTTTTATGTAGTTGTTTCAGCTCTTTTTATTTAGGGTTTTGTTTTTTGTTGTTGTTTTGTTTTTGTTTTCTGCTATCATGTTTGTAATTTCCAAGAACTCCTTGTTTTTGTATTGTGTTCTAGACTACGATAAAGCATACATAACATAAAATTTACTATCTTAACGATTTTTAAGTATATAGTTCAGTATCGTCATGTACATTCACACTGTGGTGCAATCAATTTCCAGAACTCTTCTCATCTTGCAAAATTAAAACTCTATACCCATTAACAATTCTCTATTTCCCTGTCCCCCCAGTCCCTGGCAACCATCGTTCTATTTTGTCTTTGTGAATATTGTTTCTTTTTAAATAACATTCTCCCCTGCTTTATAAATTTATATCTCTTCTTCTCTGAGGATATTAATTTTAGGATTTTTAAAGGTTTTTTTTCTATTCTTTCTCTTCTGTTTTTATTTTGGTTTTGGTATCTGTCTTTTATGTTAGATATTGCCTAAAATATCTGAAGATCCTCAGTTATATCCTTACATTTAAGAGTGAGATAGTAGATAGCTGTTTGGATATCGTGTGGTCATGGGTAGGACTTACTGACTGGTGGAATAATTGAGCAGATATCTGTTGGGTTCACTGACAGAATTTCCAAATGATTGCATCTATATATTTTTTCTCCAGGGCCAGAGAAAGATGCTTCAATCTCATGCCCAGAGTGTGGGAGTCAAGGCAGCAATGCCTGGTGCTAGAATTCTAGAACCTGGACACGGGAAGGAGGCTGGTAGCTTACTACACAACGTATACACTTTCACACGATCCTGTTTTCAGTTCAGTTTTTTAAGATTTTATTTATTTATTTATTTAATTAACAGAGAGAGAGACACACACAGTGAGAGCGAACACAAGCAGGGGGAGTGGGAGAGGGAGAAGCAGGCTCCCCGCTGAGCAGGGAGCCCAGTGCAGGGCTCGATCTCAAGACCCTGGGATCATGATCTGAGCTGAAGGCAGATGCTTAACTGACTGAGCCACCCAGGTGCCCCTTCAGTTCAGCTCCTTAACCAACCAATCTCAGCTATACCTGAAGTTTGTGATTCTATAAGTTTTTTGGTTTAATTTCTCCAGGAATAAAACTCCCATCTCCTACGATGATGAAGAAGGAGTTGCCTGCCTAGGTGGGATGGAGTGCAGCAAAAGCTTTTTCATAACTTTCCTTTTTTTTAAAGCTTTTATTTATTTATTTATTTATTTATTTTAGAGAGAGAGCACACTTGAGCTGGGGGAGAGGGAGAGAATCTCTGCTCTGAGTGCAGAGCCGGATGTAGGGCTCAACCCCAAGACCAAGACCCAAGCCAAACCCCAGAGACAGATGCTCAACTGAGTGAGCCACCCAGGCGCCCCCTTCTTCATAACTTTCAACTAATTCTACTGCTTTCAGCCCCAAGCCTCATTCTGCTTTCTGAAATACCTGGTCCCTCAGATTTCTAAGGCTTCTTGGTTTTCTGCTAGGTGACTCAGCTTGCTTCTCATCAGCATTCCCTTCTGCGGGTACTTAGATTTCCTTCTGCAAAGTCAGTTCCCACTTCCCCATCTACTATTTGACCTCATATATTACAATTCAGATTAATGAGGTCATGATCCAGGCTGCAGGATGTGCACAAAAAGAAAGAACCTAGCAGCTCAGGGAAGTAAGTTGTAGGGTTCATTAGTATGCAAACATGACATAAGACTACTCCCTTGATTAAGATTTAAAAAAGAGAGAGAAAAGTTATCACAGATGAGCTCTGGCAGCCAGCAAAAACCAAAACAAGACAAAAAACTCCACAATACAGAATACGTAACATAACACTGAGCTAAATCAAACTGTGAGAATAATGAATCCATAAATGCCAAGGGTAACTTATTTTCCTATGCATTGCTGTTTGTGTTTAAAAGAGTCCAACATATAAAATATACCTAACATTGAATGGGCTATTTAACTGAGTTCTGCTGTATCAATGCCAGCATTAACACGACAGCTTGTCTAGTCTCACTTTTCCATTTCTAAACACCCCTAAAGAAGAAGAATTCTCAGGCAAGAGAAAACGCTTCACAGAATTCCAATGATTACCTGATAATGTCTGAAACTGAAAATGGGAAATTATTTAAGGGAGCTGTAAACTGTTACAAGAACCCTTCCAACTTCAAGTGGCCATGTGAGGCAGTTCAAGTCTGAGGACATTCTGAAGGAGACATGCTACTGTAACTGGGCTGAGCTACTGCTCAGCTCCAGCTTGCTGCCATGTGGGAAGATGGGCCCAGGGCAGCCAGATCTTCCAACTTTTCAAAAGAAGCCAGAAATTTGGATTTTTAAGATGTGACATGTTACAATTTTTAAATGGTGACACTAAAAAAAAGTAATACCGTGTGGTCCAAATAAAACCCCCTGGCAGACTGTATTCAGCTACTTTCGACCCACAGATTCCCAGTGTGTGACCACTCAACTAGACTATCTAATTCTCCCTTATCCACCAGGGGCTTTTCTCTCTGCCCCCGAGGACACATGACAGCAGGTCCTGAACACAGACAGGTACTGCTGATCCTCTGTAGCCCCCAGCAAAGGAGCAGAAGACAATCAAGGACACAGCCTCATCTTCTTACCTGCCTTCCCGAATTACACCCTGGAGTCCTTCTTCTCACTATGCCAGCTGGCCCTAACATACTTTACAGTCAATTGTATAAGTAATAAAATAAAATAAAAATTTATAACTCGAAGGATTTATAGAGCACCTTTCTCCTAAGGTTGTACTAGTACTCTGTGTGTGGCATTCATCTCTACAAGACCGTAAATGAAAAATACAAATGAAGGGGACCTAAGGCAGCAGAACAAAGGTAGTTCCAAAATCACAATGTTCACTCATTTCATTTTGAACTGATTTCTTAAAGAATGACTGTATTAGAATGTCCCTACTAACAGCAAGAAGCATGCCTCCTCTTTATGAGTGGAATTAGTTTCCTTCCTGCACAAAGTAGATGGTTAGGAAATACCTATATTCTGCTTACTATGACTGCACTAGTAATTCAGCTCTATATAAGAAGGCTCCCAATAGGCATACGATGTTTGTCAACTAACTGAATCTACCTGCCAGAAATAGACTGTTTCCTGGTTTCCTTATCTGTGCAAGAAGCTGAAAGAAACCAGAGATCTACAAATATTTTAGCAGCAGATTATCTTTTAGAAGTCAGATTTTACGGAGAACAGCAGATAAAACAGATAAAAGTGGAACTATTCTGGTTAAAGGGCTGGGCGTCCAAGACCTACAAACTCCAGCCTCCCCTTCTCCCTTCTCTCCTCTTCCTCAGCCGCTCCCCGCTCTCTGCCCGCACCTCAGAAAACCTGCAGGTATCTCCAAGGACACCTCCCTGCTTAGAGTTTAAAACCACTTAACTAGGGGATCTTTTTTGCCTTTTAACTGGATTATTTCCTGCACCTAGTCTAGGTAACATGAGCAAACCATCGTATCTAAACTGACCGTCTACTCTGATGACTCTTCTGTTTTCATTTTCTTTCTTCTTATGCAGCACTCAGGAGCTCACACTTTGGTTTTAATCTTGACAATTTACCTTAAAGATCACATTAGGTATACTCTCTGTTCAGTAAGTTTTGCAACATTCTTTGACCAATTAAAAAACTTAGTTCCCAAGTAATATAACAGATTCCTATACAGATAGACTTAAATAGGTGTAGATATCAGAACTACATATTATAAATAATAAAGGATAGTTACAATTCCTTCACAAGAAAAAATTTTTAAATCTGTACTGTTTAAATTTTGCTTCTGACTTAGGTGGTTAAAAACCAAGATATCATTTATCACAATCAAATGCCACCTGAGGCCACCTTATCTCTCTACTTCAGAGAAAAGGTGCACTTAAAAATGGATGGGAGCTATAAAACAATCATTAGAAAGCTTCTTGTGTAACACAGGTCAAGCTATTTTTATAACCAGGTGACTGTAAGTTAAAGTGTCCTCCATTACCACACTGTGTAGTTAAGAAGAATGTATTACACTGACTTTTTTTTTTTTACTTTTTGTTTTTTAACAACTACTATTCCTACAAACTATGTCTTAAACCTAAGAACAAAGAAAGTTTTCTTTTCAAAACAGTAATTGGCAATCTACCTGAAAGATCCTGAAATTCAGGCTTTTGGCTGAAGATGAGGTAGTTAGTGGCAATGAAATGAAGTAGCCAGGTTGAAAGGCAATCGGAGTGGTGAAACTGCAAGAAAAGTGGAAAGTGAAACAATGTTGTATATAATAACCATTGAGACGATGAATAGGTGGAGAGAATGGTCTGGGACAAGTCGTGAAGAGCCCGACTCCATGTTGACGGCGTCCGTATATGATGCAGCCTTCTGCCTATTCTGAGAGCAGAAAGGAAAAGGGAGAATTCTTTACATGTAATAAAAAAAATTACATCAGTGAAGAAACCAAATCAAATGAGTAACAAGCTACCGGTGCTGGAGTGGCTAAGCGTCTTGGACAGAGGTACGCCACATCAGTGGTTAACAGAGACTCTTGGAGGTTCTTAAGGATTTCCTTTAAGCTTTTAATCTAAGGTCACAGACTTCACTAACTGCACTTATATCTGTGTAGCAGAGATAAGATTATGGTTAGCAAAGGTACACACTTGGCCGTATCTAAACAAGTTCACCTGAGGAGCAAACCGAAAAATATTTTGTGGAGGAAATGTCATCAACCTAAGGGGATGGCTTTCAGTGTGTACCATATTTCTATGAGAAGGTTATGTCTGAACAGTTGCTTTTAACTAGGATGTAGTTAAAAGGATGCTTTTAACTAGGATGTAGTAATCCTGCTCACTATAATTTCCAGTACGTTTCTCATGCTGAATTTCAAAAGCTAATGGAAGGGAAACTCAGAGCACCACGGCCATGACATCCTCACCTTGGTGCCAGTCCAGTGATGCTCACCGATCCATCTAACCACTCAGTTCAGACTACAGTAACGTGCTGGCAGGCCCCTTTGATACATGAGTATAATTCTTTTTGTTATTATTGTGGTTAAAATACACATAACATAAAATTTACCATTTTAACCTTTAAGGGTACCAGTGGCATTAAGTACATTCACATTATTATGCAACCATCCCCACTATTTCCAGAATGTTTTTATCATCCCAAACTGAAACTCTATACTCATTAAATAATAACTCCCCTTTTGCCCCTACCCCTAGTCCCTGGTAACCACTATTCTATGTTTCTCTCTATGAATTTGACTATTCCAGGTACCTCACAGACACTGACTTATACAATAGGTATGCTTTCTCTGTCTGGTTTATTGTACTTAGTATAATGTCCTCAAGTAAGCATCCATGTTGCAGCATGTATTACAATGTCATTCCTTTTTGGGACTGAGTAATATTCCACTGCAAGTATATACCACATTTTATTTATTCATTCATCTGTTGATGGACATTTAGGCTGCTCACCTTTAAGCTAAATATAGCTCTTTTAAGGAAACTCAAAGATATTCTATAAGCAATAAGTAATGCTAAATCGAAGAAAGATTTATAATCTCACATCTTAAGGAAGAAACTCAAGCATTGCTCTTTTAAAAAGTTATAATGTGGGAATATTTTCACATGTAAATCCACAGGTTCCTCTGATTTTCATTATACAAAATCAGAATTTTTGAATTGTAAGACACTTTGTGGTTCATCAAATCCCACATCACATTTTACCAATTTTTATTCACCTTAACTTTCAGCATACAGATGTGAGCCATCTCAAAGGGACAGAACAAGAATGTGTAGCTATTTTAACAGAAGCCACCAGCACTATAAGATGATTAACCCAAAGCAGACAACCTACAAACAAAAGTTCAAAACATCGCCTAAGGGCTGTGACCTTAAAGAGAAGGAAGATCACAGAAATGAATAGCTGGCTACAAAAACGTGGTAAAATGCAGAATTTTATTTTTGACCAAGATTTAAGATATCATAACTGTAGGCTCTTAGTGAAGATAAAGAGCAGTTCACTGTAAGAACTACTTTTTTGGAAGAATATGTGCTAACCTGAGAAAGCAGGTTTATTTATTTGTTTGTTTTATGATTAAGTTATTTATTTCAGAGAGAGAGAGAGAGAGCATGCGCATGTGCACACATGAGTGGGAGGCGCAGAGGGAGAGAACCTTAAGCAGACTCCCCGCTGAGCATGGAGCCTGATGCGACTCAGGGCTCAATCCCACAACCCCGAGAGATCACAACCTGAGCAGAAACCAAGAATTGGATGCTTATCTGACTGTGCCACCCAGGCACCCGAGACAAAGCAGGTTTAAACTGAAATAAACAACAGAATAAAAAAGAAAGGCTTTAAAAATATCATAAACAAAATGTCATAGCATTTAATAGCTCTGTGAAGAATAATAATGGTGGAGAAAACACCCAGAAACTCACAAGGAGATGATCAGAAACAAAACTGGTGGCCTGAAGCAGTCAAATATTAATGCACAGATTATAAGTAAGATATTAAGTTTTTATAAGTAAGATATTGAGCTTGAAACTTTAATATGGTTAACAGGACTTCAGAGGAATCACAAAAGTTCGGCTAGTTAGGGTATAAATGGGAGCAAAGATAAGAAGATGTCTACCAGAGTTCAAAGAACTTACTCTGATTAAGGGAAAGAAGCTTCTCTTGCATGATAGAAGCCCAACTTGATGGAAACAGATGAACTTAAAGGAGAAACGTTAGGGGAAGGAGGAAGCAGAAGTGAGAGAATACCAAACTGCTCAACTATATCAAAGGTATGAAGGATGCTTTCCTGATAAACAATGCAAAGCTAGCAGAGATGACAACAGTGTGTTTGGAAATTCTGATTATTCAAAAAGCTACTCAAAGTCTAATTCTGCTAAAAGATAATTTCACCTTCCAGAAGTCAGAGAAACAATGAAGGAAAGGTTAACTAAATTCTGACCAACAGTATGAACTGGCTGGTGAAATAAAGCCTCAAACTATAAACTTCCAAGAGAACTGGTGAAGAAAATGATCCTGTTATCTTGGATTTGTAATTGCCAAATTAGGGACCACCAGGAATAGAATAAAGGAAAACTGGTAAATGGAGACTTAATCCTAGAAAATAGAAAAGTCTTCAGAAACAAAAAATAAAATTCAAAAAGGGCTGGTGTCTTAAACTTTTAAAGTTAAAGAGAAATAAATAAGGATAATTACATAATCAGAAAGCACAGAGTCAGGGAAAACAGGTCAGGAAGAACCACTGACGATGCAACCATAAAAGACATGTACATGTGCACACGTGCATGCGTGCGACCTAAAACATCAATGCAACCGGACAGGAGATTCTCAGATGCAGGAACTAAAAGGATATGACATGATAAGGAAAGAAAAGCTTGTGACCATTTTTTTTTTAAAGATTTTATTTATTTATTTGACAGAGAGAGACACAGCGAGAGAGGGAACACAAGCAGGGGGAGCGGGAGAGGGAGAAGCAGGCTTCCCACAGAGCAGGGAGCCCAATGCGGGGCTCGATCCCAGGACCCTGGGATCATGTCCTGAGCCGGAGGCAGATGCTTAACGACTGAGCCACCCAGGTGCCCCATTGTGACCATTTTTTTTAAAGTATGACAGACTTGGTAGAAGAGTATGGAAATGATACATCAAAAATGAATGGAGGTTGTGAAAAATACCAGAATGAATGAAAAAGAAATTTTAAACTAAATCTAGAGGTTAGCTATTTATCCCAAGCTCAATGTAAATACATTACAGAGATCGAGGTTACTCAGGTTTTTGGGGGGGGGTTGGTTTGGTTTGGTTTTACCTGCAGCAAGAATTACTATCATACTGCACTCATTGGGCCAGAGACCCTTGCGGTGTTAGCAAAGGACTTAGCCCTCATGTGCACACTGCCTACACTTGTGAGAGCGGCTTCAGCTCTGAGCTCCAACACTGTGCAGAAGGTTACTCAGTTTTCTAAATTAAATTTTATCCTTAAAATTTAATATATATGGTCTTAACACTTGATTATGAAAGAAATGAACTCCAAAATAGTTAAGGAGACAGTAAGAGAAGACCTAGATGCTTCAAATGAATTCTTGAATCTTATGCCCAGAAATACACATCATCGCTTTATGAATTCATCTCAATGTGGAGGCAAGCTTTTAGCGGTCTTTCCTTTGCCCCATTATGTGGCTCCATTTTAGCAACTTGAAGACAAAGTTGTCCTCTTTTTCTAATTTTGGATGTCGAAGGTGATAGGGATAGCCAAATGTTGTATGCCAGATGACATTTTACAATGTCCTGATGGTTACCAATGATGGATCAGATATATTCCTGTAAAGACCTCGAAGTTTCAGCTTATGGCAAGTTCAATACAGACCATTATATTCCATGACTGGCACAAGCCTTAAAACTGTCATAGGGCAGAGGGTGGAACAGTAGAATAACCAAGGGTAGGATGACGTGTCTGGATAAACTTCCTGTTCCCCTTAGGGGGAATGAGGAAATAACAGATTTTTGACTGGCACAACATCAGCAGGTTCCAGAAGACTTCAAGACCGCAAACCTAGTTTATAGATCAGCCGGGTACTTTGTGAGATTCAGATTCTAGGGTCTCTGTGACTGCAGTTATTCATAATTAGCTTAACCGTGTAAACTCTGTTTGCTAGAATGTGTAGCAATGCAATTCTTAAAAAACAAAAAGGCCCTAAGCTTAAGAAGAAGCCAGAAAGTATGGTGTACTGTAGTAATTCTCAACTCAAATGTTTATACTGGATATACAGGAGACATATCAACAAAAGGCACTTTGAAAGGATTAATGAAGTATCAATACCTCCTACAAACAACCGGGAAACTTCAAAACATGTCCATGAAATGAAAAGATGAATGAATGAACAAATAAATGAGTTTAGCTTAACCATCTCTGTCAGTATGCATGGACCAATTCTTCTTGAACCCTAAGAGGTGGCTGCTTTGGGGAAATTCAACCTAAGTTCTATTTCCTATAATGCCGATACAGAATAATAAAGCACCATACTCAGATGACTCCAATAAAGGCCACCATTCAGGTGAAAACTTTCTTATCAGCAAATTCTACCTCCTTGGAAAAAAACTGCTCAAAAATCTGATGCTTCAAAATGATCTAGCCACAGAAATTGAGGTGAGGGCACTTTACCCTCATTCGGCCAAACTTCCAAACTGAGACAAACACTAATGTATCTCTCAACAAATAGAAATTTTTTTAAAAGTAGGATAATTTTTAGAAGAATTTCTTTTTTTAATCAAACAACCAGACACACAGGGGCAAGTACCTTGGCTTTTTTGAGCAGGTCAACTATATCCAGGTTCATAGATGCCAACTCCCTGCTCGGCATGCTCTGCAGCTGCGTGATGATGAACAGCTCACAGATGTGCTGCAGTCTGGACACCTGATACATCTCAGCACAGATCAGAAGACACATAGCCTGGAAAATGCCAGCTGAGGCAGGAAGGGAAATAAGAGAAAATGGACAATAAAGCCGTTTCTTTTATTACCTAAAACAAAACAACAACAAAAAGCAAACAACAATAAAACAAGGCTGACTATATCAGCCAGTGTACAACAGAATGCAGAGAAAAAGCCTAGAAGTTGAGTCTGCATTCTACACTAGTATGCCATTTTATTTATTTACTTACTTATTTTTAAAGATTTTATTTTTAAGAAATCTCTACACCCAACACGCGGTACGAACTCACCACCCTGAAATCAAGGGTCGCGCACTCCACCAACGGAGCCCGTATAAATAGGCACCCCTATTATGCCATTTTAAAAAGAATTAATTTAAGCCTTCATACTCTAAAGTGAATATTTTCATTGTTGTTGTTTTTTAGTTCTTCAGAGAAGGCAATTCTACAGTTGCCCTTAAATAATCAGTTCTAAGGCTGTTATGTAATTCTTTAGGCTAGCTAAACTAAATCCTTGTAATTTTTCTTCTCTTTAGTCCCCAGGTTTGTTGTTTTTACTGTGGCAAAACAAGCATAACACAAAATTTATCACTAACCACTTTAAAGTGTACGGTTCAGTGACATTAAGGTACATTCACATTGTGGTGCAACCATCAACCATCATCCATTTCCAGAACTTTTTTCTTCTTCCCAAACTGAAACTCTATACCCATTAAGCAATAACTCCCCATTTCCACCTTCCCTTAACCCCTGGCAATCGCTCAGGTTGTTTGTGTGTGTGTGTATTTGTGGGTTTTTTTTTTAAGCTTCCCTAGACGTGATTTTTCAGGTTATTCTCTTTCTAAGTTCTCCTTGAATTTCTTGCATTGTTTTGTAGCTAGGAACCAAGAACACTATGTATGATCCATACTTAACACAATGAATAGATCATCTTTCTTTCTGCGATTTCCCAATACAAGCATTCTAGTACTGATCTACTTTCTGATTATTAATTTTGACTCATTTTCTCCCCACACCTTTTACCAAGTTTTAAAGTGCTTTGTCCTATAGTTATTAGTGCTTCTCTGAGCATTTTTTCTAATTAGCAAGAGAAGACCTAAAATTTGAAGCTTCAATTTATTAGTGGGAAGATGACTGAGAAACTAAATTTTCTTATTATTCTAAATCTGGGTCAAAATTTTTATTTAACATACAAATTCGCCAGTATTAAAATAATAAAATAAACAATAACACACATTCTGATGAGAATCGATGCTTTCATTTTTATCAAGCAAATATAATAAGCCCGTCTTTCACACTGACAGTAGCAACTGTAACTGGCTCCAAGGTACTCTACAGCTGGCTGCAAGACCAGAATTAATTCAGTTAAAAAAGGAATTTTCTTTTTTTGAACTTCTAAAACCTTTCACTAGAGGGCTCATGACTTGTTTAAAACTTAAGAGATTTTAAATAGCAAAGGCTGAAAAACGTCTCAATCTAAAAGTGAAAGCAATAAATCTGAAGAGAGCGATGGTCTGAAACGTGTTTTCTTTTTATATTTGCTAGAATACCTGGCCAGGTCCTGTAATCAAGGTCTCGGGCTCCTTGACTAATTGAGTAAACTGCCAGGGATTTATTCTAGTTGTGTTTGTGGTAGTTGTGTTTGTGGTGGGAGCCATCTAGTGGCCAGAGGATGAAGATGAATTAAGGGGGCTTCTGTGCCGGCATCCCAAGGCTCTAGGACTGTAGAAAGGATTTTGCGATTTCTCCAAGGAGACCCCCAGCTAGAAAAAAACCCTGCAAGGTCTGTTCCAACCTATAGCTGCCAAAGATGATTAGTTTTTGGTCAAAGATAGTCCTAAGTCAGTAAATAGGGATATAAATCCTCCAGTCCGCTGGGTATCCTAAACATCTCAGGAAAAGTTTTTGGAGAAGTTAGTTTAAGGAGAGTATGACTGTAGGAGTAGTCAGAAGAAGGCTTTAAAAAAAACCTCACATTCTCTGAGCCACAGAGATGACCAAGGGGTCTCAGAATATTCAAAGTCCTTAAAAGTGCCTCAATCACAAGTTAGAGCCATAAAAGCAGCTGCCCAAACCTCTTCTCTTTATGGAAGGGATGTTCCAATCTGTAGAATTAGTCACTGGGTACCACAAAACACCTCCATTTCTAGGTGTCCACATAATCACCACACTGTTGGGGCTGGCTGGGATGTGAGAACTGACTGAAAATTCATGGTCATCCCAATACCACCTTACCTGACTAGCACATTCCATGATGTCAACTCTGATCAATCTTAAGAAAAAAAAATTTCATAGAAAGCACTTTATCAAAATGAGTGACAACGAAATAAAAAATTGTAAGATATTATCTAATATTTAGACTGCTCACCTGGGCAACAGGAGTCTGTGTATAGGTATTCTAAGAATGACAAGAAAGTCTCTTTGGAAACACCATAAACTGGAATCAGAACACTCTTTGCTTCCATGTAATTCCCATTAAACATGGCTGCCATCACTTCACAACGGGCCACCAGGATGGCCCTGTGGGCTGGCACCGTTGTACCTGCAAGGTTTAAAAGAGAAAAGTTAAGTTACACAAGCTTGCAGAGTTGTTATTCTAGCAATTTCCCTGTCAATTAGAGTGGTATTGCGTTAGGCACAGCTAAGCTGATGTCAGAAAGCAAAGTCTGGGGATCTGAAACTTCTTAGTTTTTAATTGAAAAACAAGAGTTCAAAAGTTGATTTTGAAACCGACAATTTATAAGACAGGCAATTATCTGTTACTCAGTTTGTATTTTCTGAAGATAGAAACACTGAAATATTCTGCTTCCTGTTTTTATAATGAAACATGCATCCTTTGCAATTGGCTTGAAATACCATCACCCATTCTTACCCATGTGCCTCCCAAGAAAACACTGCCATTATCCTTGGACACACTCAAAGAACAGGTCCTGGCCATGCTTCCCCTTATGAGAAAGAGGAAACTGTAGAAGGTGAACTATCCCTTGGCCTAAGCAATCCATATGTTACCACAAGTATGGCAAGGGACGACTCCTGTGTGGAGCCAAGGGGAGCATTTCAGAAGTTATGGAAAATTTGGGAGGGGACGACCTGGTCCCTGATGTCTCTCCAGTGTACTATCTCCTCAGGGAACAGTGCTGCTTCTGGAAGAGCCAGAGCTACTTTAAATTTTAAAGGTCCCTCAGCCCGTACCCTTCTCTGAAGCTCATTAAACTAAACTGACTCTCTAGCGAAAGCCTGCTAAGCTCTCCAGCTACTGGGCCGTCCCACCAAGGCAGCACCAGATGGCACATGGGTAGGGAAGCAGTTCTCAACACTCCCAGCACCTTAGGAAACCACGAATCCACAGCGAGCCTTCAGTTCAGTCTGCATCCGTTTGACGCATCATTACTGAGCACCCACCATGTGCTAATCGCTACGTTACATACCAAAGATACAAAGATGAAAAAGACGAAACTACCCTGCTTGGGAGCAGTCAAGCTTTTAGTTTGGTGGAAGACAACACAGCCAATGTGAATGATGAAGGCTTCCAAAAGGTAACTCTATGAGCCAAACCACGCTGCTCTGCTCGAGTCTTCACCTATACATCCCTCAAATCTCAGACCTCTCAGGAGCACATATTCTACTATGTAAAATATTCTAAGATATTTTACAATGAGGGGCACCTGGGTGGCACAGTCAGTTAAGCATCCAACTCCTGGTTTCAGCTCAGGTCGTGATCTGTGTCTTGAGATGGAGCCCACCATCAGGTTCTGTGCTCAGCATGGAGTCTGCTTAAAAGATTCTCTCTCCCGCTGTCCCCCTCTCCCTCTCTCCCAAATAAATCAGTAAGTCTTTAAAAAACATTTTAAAAATATTTGCAATGATTGGATTCTTCAGCTTCTTTAAATCCAAGCAAAACATCTTCTGATTCAGAAGAGTTCCACCTAAGCCCAGTGACTTCCTCCAAAGCCATGAATCCCTTCAGATTCACAAACAATGCCCAACATTCCCAGCTCTGAGCTCAACACTTAGAGCTATGATTTGCACAAATGCACCTCCCAGAGGAGAAGGGAGGGGAGGCTACATACAGTGAACATTGCTACCGAGTCATCACACACCTGCTAGCAGACATCATCCCCTCCCTGCCCCTTTGCCGGTGGGCCACCGGCTCTCACTGGAACAGTGTCCACTGAAGGGGACAGCCAGTTTCCATGATTAAACATGCTCCATTACCTTTGTACACACCAATTCACAAAGAATCCAAACAGGTAATTCAGTTGGGCTTGTAATTCTAAGGTTTTAAAATCTGAAGTAGGACTATTGAAAAAAAGAAAAGGAAAAGCAGAAGCATGGCTTAGACAAACTAGACAGCCTCTCATTTGGGTTGACTGACCCCAAATACCAAATGGACAGGAGATGGGGAAGGAATCTGACAAGTAACCTTGGAATTTTAACAGAAATTTTCCATTGATAATGTAGTTACAACAGAGTTATAAGACCAGCAAAGAAAACCCCAGTATCTTAAAGTACTGTCAAACCTGTTTCAAGCTTTGAATTTGATTTGGAAAACCATTATACCACCAGTTCAAAAAATCATCACTTCTGTTTCTCACCTTTTTCCAACTACTGTTTGGTATTATAAACAGTTTATAATACCATAATGCAATACACCTCAGTATAGTCACATTTTTTAACATAGTATATAAACTATATAAATAGATAAACACTGTATCAAGTATACCAAATGAACACAATCCAGTGTTTTGGGTTTTTTTTAAAGATTTTATTTATTTGACAGAGAGAGAGTACAAGCAGGGGAAGCGGCAGGCAAAGGGAGAAGCAGGCTCCCCACTGAGCAGGGACCCCGATGTGGGGCTCAATCCCAGAATCCTGGGATCAATACCTGAGCAGAAGGCAGACTGACTGAGCCACCCAGGCACCCCAACAATCCAGTGTTCTTATACCAACCAGCAATAAGATAAAGCTGAAGAATTAAAGACGGGGGGGAAGCATCAATTTTCTAGTGAAAAGATAAACAAGTTCTTTGAAAATGTCAAGGCCTAAAGTATCTTTCCTTTGTAGAATTCAATTGCTGTTAACAGTTTTAGAAACTTTTTTTTAAGTGAAAATGCTTAAGAGTGAAATAAAATTTGAAAGCCCAAGTTTTCTAATAACCTTAACATAAATTATCAAAGATCTTTGTTTTTATTATGCACTAAAATAAAATCCTACATTTGTCATACCTTCTTCGCATTACTCTCCAAGTTTCAAAAATGAAATTTTTAGAATTTTTTTGTTTTACTCTGAAAACAGGAAACCTGCCTAGTTCAAGAGAGATTTAGAATATGTACCATCAAGCCTTTACATATACCCTTACATGCACCACCCCAATCCTCAGGACCACTGTACCGGGTAGAAATCTGTATCCCCACGTTACAGGCGAGGAAACAAAGGATCAGAAAGGTAAAGCACCACCACACCAGGATGCTAAATATGCACCCACAGAAGATCCCAACCAGGTCTCTCCAGTCCTGGTCACTACCTCCTCAGCAAGCTTAACACGAAAAATGACCTTTTAGAAGCTATCTGGTTCACCTTCTTCACTCTGGAAATGAGAAGACTTCATAAAGCGAGACGCATTAACGGTCCTACAGATACATGCTGGTTGGAATGCAAAGCTGAGGCTAAATAAACTAGGGTTGCAGACGAGCCTGCCTCCAGAGGAGACAACATGCTCCCTTCTGCACACTAGAGCTCCCTCCCCAAATTCCAGAAGCTAGGCTTGCCTCTCCTCCCACACATGGCAGAGGTTGCTATGAGCCCGCTCCCACCCATGCCTGCTTGTCTCAGCTCCTGACCTTGGGAGGCCTTGGTTTTTGAGCTGAGGAGGCTACAAAGAGCAGTAGAGCAGCTGAGCCTCAGCAAAGGCCCACAACTAGCCTGCCCACACCCAGCCTCTGCACAGCTGGGGGCACGGGCAGGGGCCTGCAAAAGAGCTGGCAGGTGGAATTGTGAGACAAAAGCAAGAGACGCTAAGGAGAAATAATTCTCCACATCACTCTCTTTTCTCTTTATATTTTCATATGTTTCATACTCCTTTTGAAAAACTTTTCAGTAGGTTACACTAACATGATGTTTGGGGGGAAGGCCTCCAATGCAAATTATAAGCAAATACAGTCTCTTGTTAGCTTCCCCCCCAAATCATTTTTTATGTATTTCAAAGTCACTCTTCTTGTCCCATTCTCAGTGTCTCATGTGCACATTTCAAACAGTGCTGATTGGAGCTTATCAGAGGGCACTTGGGAAGTTTCCAATACACTGTCTTGGCAAGTGGCCAAAGTTAAAATGAATCTTTCTGAGGAAAAAATTTAAAAAGCAAATGACTGTTAGCTGACATACATTTCTATCATAAAATTCTAATTCTTTCTTCTAGTAATAGTCTACTTGAAGTTCTACTTAATACATGTGGAAACAACTCCTAACCTTCCTGCAGAATTGAAGGTACCTGACAATTCACTTGCAAGATTATGCTTTTAATCTACTGAAGTGGTAAAATTACCCAAGCGAATAATCAATAATGGGCATTAAAACAGCTTATCATTATTAAAATTAGGTAGCATTACTTTCCTACAGAGATAAAAAGCAGCTCTCAGTTGCTCTGGTGATAATTCTCAGAGTGCCGCGAGGAATAAATGTAGCAATACCTACCCAGGCCTAATGTGAGCCAGGCATGACCCTCAACGCTTGCTTAGTTCCTTTGCTCAAATAGAAAGGAAGAGAACTGGATAAATTACAGGTAATATAATGTGAAGGGGGCTGGTTTCAGATGATTCAACAACTAGTATCTCAAAGAAATACAGGGACAAAAATATACAATGAGGTGATATTGCAGATCATTCCATTCCACGCTGGTTCCTAAAAACTAATGAAGCCTATGGTAAGGGGGAAAAAAACTAGGAAAACATAAATTTCTTTCCTTGTTTTAACAAAATACTTCATTTCCCTATATTTTGCTGAAATTCAGCCAGTATTAATCTATATCCTGCATTGAGAATAGTCATTTCTTCACCCAAAATATTCAAGGCTGAAATAGAAAGTTAGGTAAGAAAATAAGAAATAAAAACAAGTACTGAACTTTGTAAAAATTGAACCCTACCTTGTATTTCGAAGACAACGTCAGCAAGCATTGGTTTATTAAGGAAAAACTTGAGGGAAGTGTTATAAAACCACAGAGGTTTTCTGGCTTGATAAGTTTTGCAATTCCTTAGACAATTAATCTATAAGGGAAAACAAAAATACAAGTGGAAATGTTGTACAATATGCTCTGTTAAAAAATATATAGGTTGGTTAGAGAATTTAGAAAACTGCACTAAATGTCTGAAGAAATAACGATTCCCTCCTCCATGGCACCTGTGCTCCTAGCTGTCATGCGAACTTGCCCTCAAGAATGACATGCTCTCCCTAAGAGGGAGCAGCACGGCTCTGTGTTAACATTCTGAGCAGTGAGCGAACTGGCTAAGGGAAAACACAGCTCTCTGGCTGAGAAACATGGGGTCCTGAATCCACCCACATCCCCTTTAGCTGGGAAACAGACAATGCTCAACCTCATATGAATGCCTGGTAAAATATGTTCACATAAAAAACCTGTTTGCTTGTTCCCTAACTAAAGAGGTACACACACAAAAATTTAATTTGTCATTTTAAAAAACACATATTTTCCCCCATCATATCATGTCCTACTACTTACTAGATCAACATTAAAATACCTGAAAGTAATGAACTGATTCATCTCTGTCTTAATGTACAGTCTTATAAATCCTACCCACAGCTGGGATTCCTGGAATCTCTCAAAGGTTGCCTGGATCTCTGCTCCGGAGTTCCAGAGAACCAATTCCATGACTACACCTATCTGCACTCGCACACAGGCTCACTCTAGGTGGTGGCCCCCCATAATAGTGCCTCTGCCTGACTCAGCAGTCTCCAGCCCCCCACTACACCCCACTTAGGCTTTGGTGCTTTGTTTATCCTTCCTGTAATCTTTCAGACATTCCTTTGTTCCAACCCCAGAATTCAAGAGCCAGCCCCTCTTCCCCCCCCCTCCCACCATTTCCCTAGCTGAATCTCAGGACCTCTGCCTGGGTCAGAACTCTGACCTCTGCTTGGCTATCCAGGGAATATGGAAAGCTTCATCCCTAAGAAATAATCAAGCATACAACTGCAGCAATAAGAATAAATGGCACCTACTCTCCCCTCTGGATTAATCCACTCTGGTGGGAAACTAACATCTTTGGTAAGAGGAAAACAAACTATTATCCTTCCTCAAAAGGAGGAAGAAAACACACTCCAGAATGATTTCCATGAGCAAGGCAGAGAAACAAAACAGGATCATACAAATCCTGCTCCTATAAAGCATGTTCTCAGATCCTGTACACAACCTACCTACCTTAACACACATCAAGGGAACTGGTAGAGAGGATTCAGGTGAATGCCACACACAAAGCAGAGCAAGTCAAAAAACAGCACAGAATTTGAGAATCAGCAAGGGCTTTAGAAATCATCATCTATTCCTCTTCTTACAGAGAAAGTCCTGAGAAGACTTGCTCAAAGCCAGAAATAATTCATGCCAACTCACAATCCGAATGTACATTTCCTGATTCCTAACTCAGGGTTATAGCTCTGTGTTGTACTCAGTGAATGAGAGAGACCTTTACCCCAGGAAAGCACAGGAAGAAAGCACAGAACTCATCTCTCCTCCTGTACAAAGGAGGGAATTTAGTTCAATATCATGGAATTGTCCAGCCCCCATCCTCCTCCCCAACAAGCATTCATTTTTTCTCAGTACTCAAAGGAATGACTGCTTAAAATCACACTCAAGGAAAGGCTCAGGTTTAGAACAAGAGGCAACACTTCTGTCTTCCCCATTCATATAAAGGTTATGAATTTGTATGTCGTGAATACTATGTAGATGTAGATCATGTATGGATAGATAGATCGATCAATCATGAATCTGTGTCAACAGATTCCTTTGTCACCCATGCCTTGAATATGAAGGTAAAAAAGATGGGAAGATAGCAGCTTGGACAGAACACTGATATACATGGTGCACATTTTCACCAGTCTATAAACAAGTAATCTAGAGAACTTTCGAAAAACAGAATGCAGGTTTATGCACACAGTTCTACAAAAGCATTATTTAGTTGAATTAGATGGCAAGAGAGCTACCACTCTGCCATGCCCTGGAAAACTGCACAGCTTCTGCATACCTGCTTCCGTGTATGACTGAAATAAGAAAAGGCTTGCTCTCAATTCCATGTTACTTTGTTCAGTTTTTTTTTTCTTAAATAAGTCAGGAATCTTCATTAAAAGCTAGTACAGTTTTAAAATGTTAACTTAAAATGTCATTAACTTAGGTTGTAGAATTGACTAAGTCATCTGTATAAAAAAAAACTCAAGGAATGATCATTTCTCTTAGATTTAACATAAGTCTATATTCTGCTGAGCACTGCACATAGCTTACCTTTTTATCTACTGTAGCTAATTTGTTTAGCACATAATCTGAAATAAGAATACACTGGCTCAAGTGTATAATGTAGTTGTCTCTAAAATGAACAAATTTATTTTTATTTATTTTTTTTAAAGATTTTATTTATTTGAGAGAGAGAATGAGAGACAGAGAGCAGGAGGAGGGAGGATCAGAGGGAGAAGCAGCTTCCCTGCTGAGCAGGGAGCCTGATGTGGGACTTGGTCCTGGAACTCCAGGATCATGACCTGAGCCGAAGGCAGTCATTTAACCAACTGAGTCACCCAGGCGCCCAGCAAATTTATTTTTTAAAGCCCTTACAGACTGGACAGTCTAAGGGACTGGAGTTTTAACATGCACACATTTAGGACTGTATACAAAGTCTGTATTTTATAACCTTTGACCTGGTTTATAATTTTAAACCTATACGAGATGAGAAATAAATCCTTAACTGTCTAGCTGATGATCAAACAGATTTCTCAGAACTCTTGAAAAAGGCACACAGAGAAACTGCCTTGCTCTTGAAAACTACTTGGACTTAAATTTGGAGAGGTGAGAAAGCATCCCCTTTAACAAGCTTAACCGGAACTGGATAGATTCAACAGCCCTTCATTCTTGACATAGACTGCATATTCCTGGAGCTATCTAGGGGAATGTTTCAGAGGATGGAATTCACAAATCAACATTTTAAAGACATGACTCACACATATTTTAATTCTTACATGAATTAAAATCTGAGATAGTAAGAAATACATGTTTGTGTTTAAAATATTCAAATGGCAAAAATAGACTCAAGAAAAACATATTTCTACACTGTTGACTCTTCTCATGACTCATTATTATTCATTTATCATCGTATATATGTTAAAGTTCAGGGAACATCAAGGTAAACTGATTTTCAATAAAGTAATTTACCTTTCCTGGTGTTTTCAAAATACATTTAACTTTCTCAATTACACTTGAAACATCCCCAGAATCTTTCACTTTCTTCCTGATGTCTTCTTCCAATTCTTCCCACTGAAAAGCACCTGTAGACAAATTAATATATGTTAGATTTTTATGTTAAAACAGGGAGTACAAAAGTAAATCTCTCATTAGATAGCACTTTCAGTATTTTCTTTTTTCTTTACCAAATATATATCCTTGTAATTACACTAAAACATTTAAACAGTTCTCACATTTTTAAAAACTCAGTTTGCCTTCCCCTAATGTATTTCTCAAAACCTGAAATCTGCCTCCCTAGACAGCTGTCAACTCTTTATAATAGATGGTCACCTAAAAATGACAGCAACGGCCAGAATATTAGTTGCCATCACAAGTAGTCCTTCCTACACTCAAATTACTTACTTGCCTGGGCTAAGAAGGCAGATGTGATTTTTTTTCCAAATTGACTTAAATCATACTAATCCTGGAGGGCAGTGACTACCATCAGGTAGAAGAATGAGCAGCAGGAACAGAATGCATTCAGAAAGTCTCACGCATGATCAGGGTCAGAGAAGGATGTTCAATAGCCATCTCTACAGACTCAACCTGAAGAAGGGAGGTAGATACTGTCCTGAGGAGCTATCTGACCACTGCACTGGAGCAAAATCACTGCACCTGGTCCCTCCCTCCCTTTGTCCTCACCCCACCCCACTTCCAAGCTATCTCTTCCCAGGCTCATTTCACGTCTGTCTACACTGTCAGCCCCTTTCCACTGTATTTTTTTTTTTTTTTAAGATTTTACTTATTTATTTGACAGAGAGAGAGACAGCGAGAGAGGGAACACAAGCAGGGGGAGTGGGAGAGGGAGAAGCAGGCTTCCTGCCGAGCAGGGAGCCCGATGTGGGGCTCGATCCCAGGACCCTGGGATCATGACCTGAGCCGAAGGCAGACGTTTAATGACTGAGCCACCCAGGCGCCCCACCTTCCCTCTGTGTCTTACAAAACTGTTTGATGGTCAGCAAAAGTTCTCCTTTCTCCAAGCACTTCTCTCGCTTGGCTTACCACAGCTTCCCATACAGCCTACCTGTTCCTCAGTGGCCTTCTCCTCATTGACTCAATCCCGATTACTCAGTGCTGATACGTTTCCAAAAGTACAATTCTGATGATGATATTTGAAGAGATGACCCCTATCTACCCCATGGCTTACAGAAAGTCCTAACGCCTAAAAATATAATTAACCAAGGTGTAGTGTGGGCAGGCATAACTGGGAGACCCAGGCTCTAGTTCTACCTCTGCCATTAATCACTGGTGTGACTTGAAGCAAGTCCTCTCACCTCTGCGTAACTCAAAATCCTTTTCGATCTATCTCTTTCTTCTGATCTTCCCCTTTCTGTATCCAGAACTTTGCCAGATGCCTTCATGGACATCAGGGATGGGGAGAGCACATAACAAACATTACTGAACCAATGAGATCAGGCAATTGCAGCCAGGCTGAGCCAACCAGATCCAAAGCTACACTGAAGAGTCAAGTGATAGCCCAGCGGCTCTCAGGCGTCATTATAGTTGAGCCTGTAGCACTGGGCGCTCTAGAGTATCTTTAAACTTCCCCTCACCTAACCTTCATGATTGCTACAGTGTATCCTGAGGAGAGGGGGCAGGGGAGGGAGAGCGCTGATCTGGGCCATTTGCTACCTCTGTGGTGCAAATACTCGCACCATGGCCACATTCAAGCCACCAACACGACACCACAGAGCACAGAGCTGGGAAGAGAGAAACCCAATAGGCTCTTACAAGCTGGTGCCAACCAGCTCCAGCAGCCCCACTGTTTCTGCCTACCCTTGATGCTCTCTTCCTGACTTCACTGTCGGCTCCCCTCCCTTCTCAAATTCCCAAAGGTTTGCAGTCAAGAAACATTTGGGTTTTTTGTTTTCATTTTTTGGCACTAAGGATTTTTAACTTTAAAGGCACATGCTCTTTTCACTATCTGATAAATTCTTTGCATTGTCTCTCCAGAAAATTTCCCATACACACAGAGACATTATGGTCTACATTAAAATGTCATAAGTAAAAGAACCACTGAGAAACCAACAGAACCCACATCAAAAGAATTTTTGCCAGTGATTCTCAACTATAGCTGTGCAGTACATTTACCTGGAGATCTTTCATAAAATACCATCAAGGAGGTATCAGTCCCAGACCAATTAAATTAGGATTTCTGGGGCTGGAGCCCAGACATCATTTTAAAAGCCTCCCAGGGGATTTTAAGGTGCACTGAGTGCTGATCATCACTGCTCTTCCTTCAGACACGTCACCCATGATCAAAACCCAGGATCAGTGGTATGCAGCCAACAGGTATTTTTTCATTGTCTACACTCACACATGTTAAAGGAGAACAGATATTAGCTCTTAAAAATAAATTGTATTAACGAATACCTACACAGTATCTCCATTCAGAATATTATCTGAGAAAGCAAGAATTAAGTTGAAATACATGGGATTAACAGCAGGTAAATGCCTACAGGCCACTCATTTGTCTCAGAATAGACACAAAAGGATCCAACAACTAAAGATGAAAGACCAGTTCATAGGGCACTCTAAGGATTGGGCTGTTCTTATAATTAGAAATGCATACCAAGTCATCTTTGACATGTTTTGGTCCAAATAAAATAATAATCCTTATATTGGGATTTTCTTTTCCCTTTTTTTAATTGTGGTAAAACATTTAGCATGTGGGGCGCCTGGGTAGCTCAGTCGACTAAGTGTCCAACTCTTGCTTTCGGCTCAGGTCATGATCTCGGGGACTTGGGATCGAGCCCCTGTCAGGCTCTGTGCTCAGCAGGGAGTCTGCTTGAGGATTCTCTCTCTCTCCCTCTAAAATAAATCTTAAAAAAAAAAAAAAAGAACATCTAACATGTGATCTATCTTTTTGACAGAATTTTAGGTGTACATTACAGTGTTGTTAACAATAGCCATGATATTGTACAGCAGGTCTCTAGAACTTACTCATCTTGCATAACTGACTGGGATTTTCTATTTAGTTAACTTCTCAGAGCACTGATTGAATTGACTGAGGTTCTTAGGGAGCATGTTATACTCATGCATACAAGCTGCACTTTTTGGTAGTGCAGGAAAGAGCATACCACAGAATAATTCCAAGAGCTGGAAGATACTAGGCAAGCTGAAGATGAAAGCTCCTTTCCACATGTTCGTTTACTATGGCGGCATTTCAATAAGGGATGTGAAATTCTAAGGGCCATCTGTCGTATGAAAAGCTCAAAGCAAAATTCTTGAGGCTCTGACATACATTTCAATTCCTAACCATCTGAAATTGGGTGCATCAGGAATTTGCAAGCATAAAGACTATCAAGTATTATAAGAATGTCACAACTATATGCCAATAAAGGATGACTCAATGAAGACCCACAAACTGCTGGCCTCGCTCTCTCTTTGAGGAATAGTCTTTCAGTACTTATACACTATACAGTGTTAGCTGTTACCCAACAGAAAATTAACATACACAAAACACATACTTTTACCGTGTCTATTCATTTAGGAATTTTCATAGGAAAATACTCTGAAACCTTATGTTAACCAGACCATTAAACAGACCCTTCCTAAATACAGGACCCAAACATCCATGGTGACACATGTATACAAAATTTCAAATTCCTAAAGATTAAAAAGAAGCATGTTATTTAGAGGAAATTAAGACATTCTTTGTAATTTGGTTTAAAAAAAAAAGTAGGAGATAGACTGAAGATGGTTTTTCAGTCCATGTTTGCTCAGGGCAAATATTCCTGAGCATGCTGTGTCATACCTCTGTGTTACTGACCCAACAGACACGAGTACAAACAGCTCCTGTCTTCACTGCCCCCCTAACATAACCTGTGGGTAGGCCAGGGCTTCTGTGAAGAAACCACTGTGTAACTGAGTCTTAAAACTTATGCTCAGTTCAAAAGTTTTAAAATGCTCAGCAACAGCAGGAAGAAAAAAAGCAAACCAAAAATCCCTTAAGACTGTCTTTACTGAAGTCTCTAAAAATATATATATATTTAAAACTTTAATTTGTTAAAAAATATTTTCTTTTTTTATTTATTGAGAGAGAGAGACAGCATAAGCAAGGGTGAGAGGTAGAGAGAGAGGAAGAAGCAGACTCTCTGCTGAGCAGGAAGCCCGACATGGGGCTCCATCCCAGGACCCCAGACCATGACCTGAACCAAAGGTAGATGCTTAACCGAGAGAGCCATCCAGATACCCGTGATAAAAAAATATTTTCTAAATAAATGGTAACCTATGCCCAAAGACTAGAGGATAAAACAAAACATCAGTAAGTGTTTTGACATCTGAGAGTAGGAATTGGATTGATTTTTTTCTCTTAACAAATTTTCTCCATTTTTTCACAATTGTCTTTACTGTACAAGTACAGCTTTAATATATTTTTAAACATAATTTAAACACAATGTGGGGCGCCTGGGTGGCTCAGTCGTTAAGCGTCTGCCTCCGGCTCAGGTCATGATCCCAGGGTCCTGGGATCGAGCCCCGAGCCCCATATCGGGCTCCCGGCTAGGCGGGGAGCCTGCTTCTCCCTCTCCCACTCCCCCTGCTTGTGTTCCTGCTCTCCTGTGTCTCTCTCTATATCAAATAAATAAATAGAAACCTTAAAAAAAAAAAAGAATAACTAAACACAATGTAACTTTTGTTTGAGTCTGAGGTTATACTCTATAAATACAGAATAAGTAATAGGTACCTGCTAAAGCATTTATTTTCCCTTTTCCTCAAAGCATTGGGGTCTCCCTGCAGCCCCAGGTCAATGGCCTATGGCCCAGCTCTTACCTGACACCACCTCTTCTCTGGGTCTTGACATACAAGGAGAGAATGAACAGAGCAGAAATGCAACAGCCCAGTGTCAGGTTAGGAAGCCTGTGCTCTGAACTGCTCAAGGGCTTGTAGCAAGCTCTCCATGCTATGATGCTCCTCTGCCTCTAACTGCTCTTCCTGGGGTTAACTTAAGTTTCCACCCGGCCACAAAGCAGCCACTTCCCCCACCCTCGGGCAGCGGCTACCACAGGGCAGCAACAACTCCAGCTCCGAACAGCTCACAGCAGTAAGACTTGCAGCTGACCCCATTCTGACTCTGTGCCCTGAGACTGATAGGCCAGGTCCCTCCCCTGGGCCTCTGGACTGAATGCCAGGCTCATCCCCCTGTCTGTGGCCAGTACGTGGTTCTTCCCAGAGCAGGTGATGCGTGTAGTCCAGAGCATCAGCATTACCTGGGAGACTGCGTGAAATGCAGAATCTCATGCCTCACCCCCCCAGGGCCTACTGAATCAGAATCTGCAGATGAGGGGCACCTGGGTGGCTCAGTCAGTTAAGCGTTTGCCTTCAGCTCAGGTCATGACCCCAGGGGCCTGGGATGGAGCCCCACATTGGGCTCCCTACTCAGCGGGTAGCCTGCTTCTCCCCCTGCCCCTCCCCCTGCTCATGCTCCTTCTCCCTCCCTCTCTCTCAAATAAATAAATAAAATCTTAAAAAAAAATCTGCACATGAAGAAGATCCCCAGTTGACTCGCATGCACATTAAGTTTGAAAAGCCCTGGTCCAAATGATGGACAAGCTGTAGCAGCAACCACCTGTTGTCAGAATAATGGTCTTCCTGAGGTTGATCTCCAGAGTAATGGAGCTTCCTTATTAAACTCCTGTCTTGCCTGCTCTATTCCATCTCCCCACTATCACTAGAGATGAGCATGTCAAAGCCCAGTCTGATCATGCTTAACATTCTAGAACAGCTTTGATGAACAGCTTCCATCTGGCTTGCCAGCCTCATCTCCTGCAAGCCTTCACCTCCCACTCTGTGCTCCAGCGGGGGGGGGGGGAAACAGCACTTACTATAGATACATTTTCCTTAATGTATGTTTCCCAATAAATTAACTTCTTTCAAATAGCATTAGAGTCAACACATAAGGGGGCTGAGGAAAGAACTTTTTTTCCTTTCCCCTTTGCTTCCATCTGCATGTATTAATTTTGTAATTTAAAAAAATCATTCCCTACACGAAAGACAAGTAGGTTCTGTCACTGGAGATACAACTAGCTCTTTTATTGCTACCTTATTCAAGAGGATATAACTGACTTCAAAGTGCTCATGTGCCTTCGAAAGTATTCAATAGATATTGTGGTAAACTTGCTGAATAACTCAATTTCAACAGTAACATCTCCGAAAAGAAAAGCCAAACACTTCCTTCACAGTTCTCTAAACATCATTAAAGACTTTTTTTCATTTAACATGTAAACATTCTTGTTTTTCAGAATTAGCCTTAAATTCTAAACTGTGAGACTCAAAGTTTAAACATGAAAATCTATTAGTAAATGAAGTGTTTAACTAGCCTGCTTTATTCATATGATGATTCACAGCTACTAGAGTCTACTCATTAATTCAACCGACACAAAACCTGCCATGTTGAAGGCACTGTGTTGGTGTGCTCTGTAGGAGTGGTTATTCATGCCTTTTCCAAGCCAATATTCACTGAATAATGGGTTTAAGACCCACCACTACCATTCTACTCCTATGTAGGTATATGTATGTACATATATAGAGATTTTTTGAAATTTCTTTTAAAGTAATTTCTACACCCAACGTGGGGCTTGAATTCATGACCCTGAGATCAAGAGGCACGTGCTCTACTGACTGAGTCAGCCAGGTGGCCCATATATATACATTTTAATGCACTCAAATCTTCATACTGCACTGCACTTTTCAAAACCATTAATTTTTATTTTAACTTAAGAGTAAAATTATATAACCACAGCCCAAATGAAAAAAGTAAAATCTGGTATTAACATCAATTATTTCAACTGAAGACTATCCAAAAGTTTCTTACAAATATGAAACAGCACTTTATTTATTTGCAAACCTTTATAAACTTATCTGTCCCTCATTTTGAAGTCTAAAAACAGATTATAAATGTTTCTCCACAGCCACATTCCAGAGGAGTGACCTTAACTTAATATTTCATCAGAACATGATTCCAAGTGAAAAATTAAAGAAGAGAGAAGTTCTCGGAAAATTTTTACTTAGATGCTTACTTTAAAAATCATTTTTGTCAATTCTTTTCCATTCTTACACGGGACACTTAGATTTGACACCCTCAATGCATTAGCTAAAGTGACTCAGATAAAACTTCTATTTTTTAAAATATAGTAGCTACAATCATTTAAAAGGACAAGAAGAAAAATAATTGATAAGCTCTTTTTTTAAAAAGACTTTATTTCAGAGAGAGAGTGAGTAAGAGAGAGAGGGAACACAAGCAGGGGCAGAGGGAGAGGGAGAAGCAGGCTTCTTGCTGAGCAAGGAGCCCAATGCGGGGTTCGATCCCAGGACTCTGGGATCATGACCTGAGCCGAAGGCAGATGCTTAACCAAATGAATCACCCAGGCACCCGATAAGCTCTATCTTAAAAAGATAAGTGCACAGTAAGAAAAAGAAGTAAAATCTAAAATAGTCAAAGTCAGGGTACCTGGCTGACTCAGTTACTGGAGTATGTGACTCTTGATCTTGGGGTTGTGGGTTCAATCCCCACGCTGAGTGTAGAGATTACTTAAAAACAAAATCTTAAAAAAATTAATCAATTAAACAAAGTTGATCAGATCTCAGTCTAAACTAACTTCAGATACTCTTTCCAGTTCCTAAACTGAATGCAAGGAACCTGCTAATTTCTCTTAATTCCCTCCAAAATCTAAGAGTAAAACAAAAGTGAATAAATGGCCATCTTTTAAGATGCAGATACTGGGACACCTGGGTGGCTCAGTCGGATAAGCACCTGACTCTTGGTTTAGGCTCAGGTCATGATCTCCGGGTCATGATCTCAGGGTCCTGAGACCGAGCCCCACATTAGGCTCCCCACTCATCCGGCAGTCGGCTTCCTCTCTCCCTCTGCCCCTCCCTCTGCTCACGTTCTCTCTAGCATGTGCTCATGCTCTCTCTCACTCTCTTTCTCTCAAATAAATAAATAAATCTTTTAAGAAAAGATGCAGATACTTATTTTCATTCACACTTTGAAAATTTTGTTTCTTTAGAGTTAGACTGGACAAATGCTCATATTTTCACATTTTGGTTATTTTTGTTTAAATAAAATACTGACTAATATCTGCTCAGTAGGAAAAGAAATTACTATTTTCACAAGTAGATTTAAAACCAAGGCAAGTAAACTTATAAGTAAGATGGAAAGCTTGGACCAATTCCTGTATATAAAGACTATTTCATGTAAAATCCTTACCTCGGATGGTAGAAAGAAAATAAACATGGAGCTAGACAATACACCTGAGGACCACAGGCGTAGTTCCTTTCAAAAGCTTAATTAAGAGAATGTACCAGAACCATTTAACAAGATACCTGAATAAATGAAGCGCAGAATGTCCGGCAAACAAGAGCAGAAGAGGGCATCTTTGACGACAACGCGTAAGGGCGGGTTGCCTGGAGAATCCTGGCGAGCACCGGGAAATGCAGTGTCTCTGCTGATAGTGAAGAGGTCTTGGGTAGTTCGGATGATACTGGAATCCTGAATGTCAGCGGGACTCTTCACATTGAAAAGTAGCATGAAAACGTGGCTTACAGCACACAGGACAATCTTGTGGGCCTCGGCAACTTCCTTCAAATCTGGGTTGTAAAATACCACATCCACACACTGGCAGCAGAACAACAAATTATTCAAATCAGAGTTATAATGCGATGCTTCAGCCTTTAAGACAGGCATTTTTTCTGTTTCAAAGAAGAAAATAAAAGTGACAAATTTTTCTTTAGGTCTATAGACCCAATCATTTCCGGTTTCTTTTAAACACAACAAAAGAATATTTTCTTAATATTATTAAGTTGAGCCACATGAAATTGCCAACATTTGGCCATTTGTGACCCTACGAAAACAGCAATTTTGTGTAACTTAATCTAATTATAAACACACATAAATTAATTATCCTGAGATAACAGTCAAAGAAATACACAGTATTTTTTACAGTGCAAATGAAAATGGTACTAATGCTATTAACAGCAATAAAATAGTACTTCTCACTATTTGTGTGTCCCCAAATAAAATCTCTCTCTAGAGTCCTTAATTTCCAAAAAAAGGATGTAACCTTCAATTTCCTAGTTTGATCACTAACAAAGGTAAATTAGCCCTCAGTCGATTCAGAATATCCCCACAGAGGATCACACTCTAGGCCCTCATCATAGACCCTAACTGTAAAATATCTGCTGGCTAGATTCATCCCAAGCTGAGCCAAGGAAAGTGTTATCTGTAAAGGGTTGCTTGAAAGATACACAATCCCCTAAATCAGTAGAATTCAAACTTCTTTAGGAATGAAAATTCTTTACTCTAAAGCAAAACTCCAGTCTCTAAAACCGATAATAACAAGGAACTTTGGTGGCTAGGCTTTTCCCGAACTACACCCCACTCATCCTTCCCTCCACTGCCTAAGGCACCTCACAGACCCTGAATGATTTACGAACAGTGTGAAAGCCACATGCCCTGGAGCCCAGGATCTACCCTTAGAACAAATGAGCACCAGAACCAATGTTCAGTGTGACACCTCACAGAAGGGCACAAAGTTCCACCTGTGAGAATGGAGACTGCATTTGTCGACCGGACCCTTCAGAAAGCCCTGTCTGCTAGGTCACTGAGCACCCCAGGTGGAGACCCACGTGAGAAATTTCTCCTTCTGCTAAATCCATGAACGGCTTTGCTTTCTCAGAGGAACTGTGGTGTTTTCTCTTCTTGAATTAAGAAGAACCAAGAAATTATCTACCTCCACTGTTTATTTGGCTATTCCCCACCCATCTTCTCATCCAGAAAGCATTTAAAGCAGCAGGTTTGCTCCATAACAGACCACATCTCCCCGCTTACTTTGCACACCAGGAAGTTCAAAGCCAAACTGTGTATCACTTAGGATCTATCTGCATTAAAAAAAAAAAAAAAAAACCTGGAATTGACTTCCCATACTAATTTGTTTTCCGAATTTTTAATGTATATTGATTTATTTAACAAGTACTTACCAAGTACCTACATTTTACAAGTTCCATAACAAATTGGTCTGCATAGTGTACTACTATTCTATTTCTATGATATAATTATTTAAAATTTTTGATAAAAGTTAATTTTGATAAAAATTGTATTTATGTATCTTTATTTTTCTCTAACCTTGTGTTATGAACATTTTCAAACATTTGAAAAAGTTGAAAGAATGATACAATAAGCACACACATATCCTTCACCTGCATTCTGCAGTTAACATTTTGTCATGTTTGCCTTATCTCTAGCAAGATACACTTACACACACACTCATACTGCTGAACCACTTAAAAGTAACTTGAAATCATCAAGATATTTCAGCTCTAAATAATGTCATATTCATTTCCAAAGAATAAGGACATTCTTCCATTAGTCACAGAACCATTACCATACATACAAAAATTAACAATCCCTTCATGTCATCTAATTTCTAGTCCATATTAAAATTTTACCCAACTGCCCTAAGTCTTTGAGATGTTTTTATTGAACCGGTATCCAATCAAGGTTCATGTATTGCATTTGGTTGTTATTTCTCTTAGACTTTAATCTACGATAGCTCTTCACCACACACACTATTTTTTAAAGAAGCTATAGACTCAAGTTTAAGACAGTATTCCTCAAAGTCGGTCCAAATACCATCTGCTTCAGAATCACCTGGAAACTTATTTTAAAAGCAGATTCTACACCTCATCCCAGATTTACTGAAAAAGAATGCCAGGTGAGTCCTCAACATACTCAAATTTGGGAACAATTGCTCCACGACTTGTGAAGTGATCTATAATAAATATCAATTGAATGTATAAACATTGGTTAATCAATGCACCTGGTTGTTCAAGCTGAGGTGGTCTAATTCCATGAAATGAGTTGCTCATTTTCCTTTTCTTCATTTTTTCACTTGTCTTCTGATTTAAGGCTTGAATCATAAAATACTCCAACTAAAACATGAATAGAATTTTGATTAAAGCTTCAACAAAATTATGTATCTGACATGATTATTGGTACCCCAAATCACATTTGCCAAATGTTTTTAATGCCAGTACCATCTCCATGTAAGCTTTAGCAAACACTTTAAACAATTTTTTATTAAAAAAAAAAGTATCAAGTAGAACAGACTGTGCCTTGTCTAAGCATAAATAAACTACCCATTCAAGAAGGAACTGTTTATTCTCTTGAATAATCAAGAAAGCCCAGCAGTACGACTGTGTGACTGTCAATAACCATCTCGTGGGCAACCACAGCAGTTAATACTAGAGAAACTCAAGGCAGGACAGATCTGGCTCTATGTCACAGATGTTCATATCAACTAGGGATATTTACACGTGCTCTATTTTTTGCTTGAATAAATTACATTGAAATACCATCCTTTATGTTATAAATTAAAAATCTTGGGGTGCCTGGCTGGCTCAGTCAGTAGAGCATGCAACTCTTGATCTTGGGGTTGTAAGTTTGAGCCCCATGTTAGGTGTAAAGATTATTTTAAAAGCTGAGGGGCACCTGGGTGGCTCAGTGGGTTAAGCATCTGCCTTCAGCTCAGGTCATGATCCCAGGGTCCTGGGATCGAGTCCTGCATTGGGCTCCCTTCTTAAGGGGGAGCCTGCTTCTCCCTCTCCCTGCCCCCCCATGCTCTCTTTTGCTATCTCTCTCTCTCTCAAGTAAACAAATAAAATCTTTTTAAAAAATAAAATTAAAAAAAAAAAATCCTAACCACATGCACTTGCACGGCACCAGACCTATGCCTTACACTGTGAGGCTTGGGGCAAAAGAACAAACAGAGGTCCATGTACCACATACACAAATATTTAAACTGCGTAAATCAAGAAAACAAACTATTATGTAAAAGATATTCTATCCTCTTGCTTTGACAGCCAGGTTTGGATTTAAATTCTCAGACTTCTCAGAGTTTCGTGTAGCACAGGGAGAACTGGCCCCTAACTCCTGGGCCCCAAGACTGCTCCTTCTCTTCTCACGCCCTGCTCCATCCCATGCCTCAAGGAGCTTTATACATGTAAGCAGACATTCATACCTACGTGTCCAAACTCTACTCTCCCCTCCCCCATTCCTCATATGTAGTTATCCTTTGGCCACCTTTCAAACCTAGGGACACACACACTAGTAATGCAATCCACTTCAGGAGGACTGACACAGGAAAAAGGCCTGCACAAGCCTGAGAAACAGACTGAGTGCCACCGGTCAGAGACTTCTGGGGTCCTGGGTTTTGGAACATGGTTGGAGCACTGTACAATAGAACCCTCTGTTCTGTGTTGATGGAAATGCTCTATAGTATCTGTGCTATTGAATAGAGTAGCCACAGGCCACATGTAGCTATTAAGCCTCTAATATGTGGGTACTGCATCTGAGGAACTGAATTTTCTTTAGTTAATTTAAACACAAATAGCCCCCTGTGGCTAGTGGCTACCATAATGGATGGTGCAGGTCTAGAAGAGCTTCTAGCTCCAGGTGGGCATACCCCCTTGGCTCCATCAACTTGTGCCATGGGGGTGCAACTGGAGGAGGGCCAGATGGGGCTCTCTAAAGCTACAGGGCACACAGCCCTCTTGCCCAGGTCTTCATCCCTGACCCTTAAACACAAGATTTTAAATGCTCCTTTCACTCTGACATTATCATCTCCATCTATATTCCGCAAATGCCACTATTTCTTACACTCACGATCAAAGCTGTACTTTACTATTCAATAATCTCGAAAGGGATCATTCTGATCTTATTTCCATATTCTTACCAAGTCTTAAGGAAAAAATAAACTGCCATGTCTTTCTTCCAACCTTGACCACATCTTCAATCCTTATCATGCGTCCAACCCTAACTGCAACACCAGGTGTTAGGAACAAAGAGAAACAAGGAGGAGGAAGCAGAAGTGAGCAGATAAAAGTGGGAGTTGGCAGGTCGTTCAGAAGAGTGACCCTGAGATTTCAGGTTCAGGAAGTGGAGCAGGGAAAAAGGAGAGCTCCATACCCCAAGAGAATCAGCCCCTTCCCCTCCAACAAACGAAACCGAACTATCATTTTTCCCCAGTTTCCTAAATATTTCAGGGAAATGCAAGATTCTTAGACTAAATTAAGATTTTTTTTAATCCACTACAATACAGTATCTTTGACAGGAAAATTAGATTTCAGTCCTCTCTACCTTCCTACCCTTTCTACTTTTTATTTATCACTGTAAAAAAAAAAAAAGACAAAAGTTTCTCAAGTCATTATATCAGTCTTGTGAGTATATCTTTCTTAATGCTATATTATTAATGTCTCTTCACATTAGTGGGCTAAATAATAGCCACTTATACATGATAGAAATCAGAACCATTTATATTTGGTGCTTATTTTATCTTTGGTTCTTCTTTGGAGTTTGGTAACTGTCCAGAACAAATGAAATTTTCTACAGTCATCTGTGGAAACCTCAACATTTTGACATGAATCCACATAATGAATATACTGGTATATTAGAAAGAGTACTTGACAAAGAGCCACGGAACTAATGGAGAATTTCAAAGTGCTCCTGCTTAATGCAGGGTTTACTTTGGTTTAAACCTCTTATCCATGTTTACCAAATTTGTCTGTTGAGTGGAGTCACTTCTTAGAGGGTTGAAACGATAGTTCCAAAGTCAGTTCATACTTACATGATACAACTCCATGGTATTCTCCAAGCACCATGCAGTCCTAACAGTGTAGGGTAGGGGCTATGTGCCAAGACGGGTCTCAAAGTGCCTATAGTGCCCAATAAATGCCATTAGCTACAGAGCAAGCAAATCCCAAATGTATTTTTTTTTAAAGATTTGTTTATTTATTTGAGAGAGAGAGAGAGCATGTGAACGCCAGCAGGGAAAGGGGCAGAGGGAGAGAGAGAGGACAGAAGCAGACGCCTCGGTGGGCGTGCACTCTGAGGGCTCGATCTCACAACCCTGAGATCACGACCTGAGCAGAAATCAAGAGTCTGATACTTAACCGACTGCACCATCCAGGCGCCCCAACAAGCTATTTGTATAAGCAGTTTCTATGGATATTTTTGAGCTGAATCATTTAGGAGTATACAAAATCTTGCCAAAGCACACACAGAGGAAGAAAAATCTTTCTTTTCGAGTACTAGATAGAAATGAAGGAGAAGTTTCAGGGCCCAACGGTTCAGGTTGCAAGGCTCATTGAACAATATAAAGATACGAAAAAAACTGACATCACAGGTTTGTGTAAGTAAATATGCTTTTGATATGTTCAATAAAAAACAACAGTGTCACCAAATGGAAAACTCCAAAATATCCTATTAGACAATAGAAAACGCTTCATTTGAAGAGAAAAATAAAATTATAATTTTACTCTGACAAAACCTTATTCTACTCTCAGTTTGTTTCTCAAAGTTAAAACCAGTCATGCTTTTAAAACTAAAGTTCTAACTGAGGTTCTAGAAAATAGCTACACAGCAAACCTGACAAATGACTTTATTTTTTTTTTTTAAAGCAGAGCTGTATTTATTTTTTTTTAAGATTTTATTTATTCATTTGAGACAGAGAGAATGAGAGAGAGAGAGAGAGAGCACATGAGAAGGGGGAGGGTCAGAGGGAGAAGCAGACTCCCTGCTAAGCAGGGAGCCTGATGCGGGACTCGATCCAGGGACTCCAGGATCATGACCTGAGCCGAAGGCAGGTGCTTAACCAACTGAGCCACCCAGGTGCCCCAATGACTTTACTTTATGTAACAGGGATTACCACTTACCACTCCTCCAAAATATTTTCCTATGTAGAAGTCATCAAGGCTGTGTAGTTCAAGATAGGTAGCTCCCAGTTCTTTCGCGAGTTGGATCCCTTCAGTTGTACTGACACAGCTCCCTCTGTCTGAGGTACATAGCGGGCATGTACAAGGTAATTCTTCTGAGAAAAGAAGTATGAGTAACAAAGAGCTTTGAAATTAAACAGGAAAAGAAATATACACAGGCAACCTGAACACTGAACAACAAATTAACAGCTCATACCAGAACCATAGTTCAGGGGCATGTGGTACGTCTACTATCCACCAGACTGAATAAAAAGCACCAGTGTTATAGAAAGGTCCCTAAAGTAAACAAGCTTTGTGTGCAAGAAGAATAAACAGTATTTTAGAAAATAGAAAAACTTTAAAATAAGTGAATATATATCACCAAAGCAAAGCTTTTATAGTAATTAAACCAATCAGGTATAATGGAGGACGTGTTTCCCTTCATATAACCCTGACATCCTGAGTATCAATACAAATTAACAACTTAATTGCCCATAGAAACTATGGAAAACAGTGGGTTGGGTTACCTCTTTTTTCTTTCTTTTTTTTTGGTAATAAACTTGAAATATATTCACCAAGTTGACTAGATCTGAATCCTCAAGGCTGCAAAATTTTATAGATTTCATATAAAGTACATTCTTATTAATCCAAACATTTCAATTATTAGACTCTATTCAACTGCAGAAACCAAACTCAATCACTTATCTTTCTCTTCAAGATTAAAAAATTTTTTATAAAGGAATAAAAAGTATTTTCAAAATGTGAACTATCGTAAATGTCATGGTTGTATCATGTATAGATGTATGGCTGGGCAGGTGGTAGATCAACATATCTATTAGGACACTCCTTAATAAAGCTAAAAATGTATGTTCTACTCTAGATTCATCAGCAAGCTTTGTTTTGTTTCATGACACATCAGATATATCATTGTTTAAACGGCAGCTAAATCAAAGGGGGATAAATCCATTTCTAGAAATGCAGATTGTTATAGATTAGTTTCCCTGGGAAGCAGACTCAGATGGAGACTGGTGTGCAGGAGGTTTATTCGGGGAATGATCTTGGGAACAAATGTACTCAGGGGTGAGGGAAGTGGGACTGGGCAGAGAAAAAATTCCGACTGCAATATAGCTAGAACAAAGATCTCAGCAGATCCTACTGGCAGGGGCTAGAGCTTAGATGGCCCTTTAGAATGGTTCCCAATTTGGGGGAAGGCAGCTGGGCCTTTGTGTCCCTAAATCAATCAAGATAATCAGTGACTAGATGAGGGCTGCCATGGAGGGGGCAGAACCTTGAGCAAGCAGCTTCTATCAGCAAAAGGTAACACCCGGGAAGGGACTCAGCTGTGCGCCATCAGCAGCCAACATTCTGGTAACTGAGAAAGTATAGTGGCCCCAAAGGGCATTTGGGGGGCACCTGCATGGCTTAGTCGGTTAAGCATCTGACTTGATTTCGGCTCAGGTCATGATCTCAGGGTCATGAGATCAAGCCCCACGTGGGGCTCTGCACTCAACATGCAGGCTGCTTGAGATTCTTGCCCCCTCCCTCTCCGTCCCCCTCCACTTCCCCCCCTGCTCGCTCTCTCTCTCTAAAATAAACAAATAAAAATCTAAAAAAAAAAAAAAAAGGTTTAAAAAAAGGACATTTGGGCAACTTCCCACAGCCTACACAACTTCCTTACCAGTGAACTGCATATAGGTGGACCATATATAAGTACACAAAGGATATCTAGTGCATGTGAGTGCTACGTATATAACTATGTAGGTAATTTTAGCTTCATTGAAAGCATTTTAGAGCTCAGAAACCAGGAATTTACATCCCCCCTTTGCAGAGGAGGAAACTGGGGCTCAGGGAAGATAAGTGACTTGTCCAAGTCTCTTTGTGTGTCAGAGATGAAAAAACAATGATACCACTGTTACTTGCTCTATCTGATAAGTAAAGTGACATCAAAAGATAAGATAAAAATTTAGTTTGAGTAAAGACACAGTGATTTAAAAGTTAAGCATGGGTTCTCAAAATTAAGCCCTGAATTCTGAGTTTTTGCTTTACTTCTTCCAGGATCATCTTGTTTCCAGCACATCAAGTTTTTATACAGAATTTAGCCTATCTTGAAAAATAACACACTGGTATTTCACATTCTTTACAAAGATTCATAAACAGTGCCTTTGATTTTCTGAAGACAGAGGCCTTCTTATGTCTACAAAGCTCTCCTTATGTTGATGGAATGGGGTGAGTAGGCAGCCCATCGTATTAAAATGTATTTCTAAACAAAAATAAAGCAACGTGTTTCAAGTGAAAAATTAAGTGAACATAATATAAAATAACTTTTAACAAATAATCTTGATTTGAAGGAAAATCCAACTAATTTCAGGTTTAACCCAGCCGAGCAGGGTTTTCCGCTGTCTATAGCCCCACGTGGGGCTCTGCACTCAGCATGCAGTCTGCTTGAGATTCTTGCCCCCTCCCTCTCAGTCCCCCTCTACTTCCCCCCCTGCTCGCTCTCTGTCTCTAAAATAAACAAATAAAAATCTAAAGGAGTGCCCTTTACTGACATACACGCCTAGAAAATTCTTCTTCATATCTAGTCTTCATATCTCCTCTGTAGCACAGAAGACATTGCTTTTTGTTCACATGCACCCAAAAGGAAAAAATGTCTCGTCATTATGTGGTGGGTATAGCACGAAAACCAACAAAACATTTATAGAATAAATAAACCTACATTATGCATTTCACCAGGAACCATAAGAGGACCCAAAATAATTTTAAATTGTGGTGCCTTCTTCAGGAGATCACTCCTGTGAGCCGACCTCAGGGTCACAGGGACTCTGGACATCAGTGTTACACTTCTAGTTAACACTGTGTAGTCTTTGTTCCTTCTCTTATGCGACATCTTTTAAGGTATCACAAATGTCTATTTTTTTTTTTTTAAAGCAAACACATTGTAACTCTGGAATTCAAATGAATGGCACCTCTTTCAAAGCAGGGGCTTTCAGAATCTGTAGGGTGATTCGTACAATGTTGCCAAGTGCTTGAAAGTTTTAGAAATCCTTTTAAGAATTCTAGCCTAGCAATGTACTCGACTCTACCAAAACTTCAAAAAGAAAAGAAGACATGACGCCCATTTTGGGGAGCTTAAGGCTATGAATACCCTCTAGACATGTTCAGGAAAAAAAAATTCTCTTTTAAAGACAGGTTCAATATTTAGTAAAAGCCAAAAATTTGTACAAAGCCAAATGTGATGAAGAAGACATACAAGTCAAGCTTGTCAAAACATGTGTAACAAAGGAAATGATGAGACTGATTGTGTTTGCTGAACTAATTCTAAAAAGAGCTCAAGGGAGGAATTATCAGGAGAACACACAGCACAGCTTCATGTATTGCAAGGGACTGGGGGAGGGAAGCAATAAAAATCCTCGGGTTGAGTATCAGATTTAGCTTGGTAATTACTTTGCAATCACATCTATATGTGAAATTAATTTCATCTTGTTTAAAACCATTCATCCACTAACTGAACAAATGTTTATTGAGTACCTACCATATATCAAACAAGAAATATACATAGATAAAAGCTCATAGTCAACTGAGCCAACATAGACGTGACTGCAAATTATAATATAATACATATAATAAATACTAAAATAAAGTATGCAAAATCGCCATGGGAACAGAAGGGAAGAAACTGACTCTGCCTGGGGATTAAGGAAAGGCTTCACAGAAGAGGTAGTGATTTACTGGATAAGGATGAACTGGCCATGCAGATATGACACGAGTTGTGCAGAGGGGCACTCCCATTAGAGGGTATAGCATATGCAGAGATCTGGATGTAAGAAAAAACAATACATCAGCTTCCAGTTTCAAAATGGAAAGCTAAGCCCACAACTCCTCTCCCTGTCAAATCACAGAAATGATTAAACAAAGAGGGGATAGGGAGGGGACGAGAAAGGAGAGAGAAATGGAGGGAAGGAAGAAAGGGAGGTGTGGGGGAAGGAGGAAGGGAAATGTGCATATACAGAAACACTCAAAAATTAGGAGGAGAGAAACTCATCAGCCCAGAAAGGAGGAGTGCCTAAAGGCTGAAGGCAGATAGCACAGGACCAAAGAGGGAAGCTGAAGCTCAGAGGACAGGTGGGAAGTCACACACTGGGCAACATCAAGAATACTCACTGCTCAATCATGGAGGGGCAACAAGGAGGCCCATGGACAACTAAGTGGAGATCAGTTGGACACCCACTGGTAGCAGCGAGGCCTGCAAATCTCATGTGAGCTCTCACTCCCACCCCAACCTCGGAGAGCAGTTGAGCAGAGGAGGAGAAAGGCGTTAATCCAACAGAGAATCTAAAACTGCAAAACTAGGCAAATTAAGAATTATCCAACATTTAAGAAGCCTCCATACTATGAAATAAAATCTCATCAAATGAAAAGATTTAGATCGTCCTCCTTAAAACAACTCAGTAGACCAATCAAAACAGAATCTTAAAATAAGTATAATTACTTGAGAGAGGTTTTCTTCTTAAAGTATTTACATTCTTAAAACAGGTAGAAGAAATTATGAAAAACAACCAATTAGAGATTTTGGATATGAAAAGCTATGAAAATTTTTAAAAATGTAATAATGCAAAAGAGCAGGATAGACCCTGCAAGTAATTTGTGAGTTCGGGAAAAAGACCAAAGAATTCTCCTATAACACAACAGAGAAATAAAGGTTAGGAAATATAAAAGAAAAATAGGAGAAACAAAGGAGAGATCCAAAAGTTTCAACATCAGTCTAGTAAGAGTCCAAAAAGGACATAATAGAGAAAATAGAGGGAAGGTGGTATCTGAAGAAATCAAGAATCTGAGGATCAAGAAATCAATATCTGAAGTTGAGACTTTCCCAGATCTAAGAAAGACATTAAATTCAAGTAGTTTAGTGTGTCAGGTACGTAAGACACAAAAAATCGTGCCTACAAGGCTGCAGAAGTAGTCAGGAGATAGATTATGAAGGATCATGTCTTTTAAGGAAGATGTTACAAGAGAAAATTATTGAAGTGAGATATAAATACTGGATTGGAAAAAGAGTATCAATGGGAACTCATGATTAAAAGATATATATTTAAACATATATATATATATCTCCAAT